TTCACTCGCAGTGGTCTAATTCGATTAGTGTTGCGTTAATTCATGTAGACAATGTGAAATGGCTCAAGATGTTTTGCAATGATTTAACAAGTCGTAAACAAATGATTTATCTACTTGTTAAATGATTCGTGCCTTTTTGAAACCATTCACTGTGTTGTTAAATCATTCAACTAAATGTGAAATGATACAACTACATGTGAAGTAATTCAGCATCATGTGAAGTGATTCAACATCATGTGAAGTGATTCAACATGATTTGAGTTGATTCAACATCATGTGAAGTGATTCAACATCATGTGACGTGATTCAACATCATGTGAAGTGATTCAACATGATGTCAGTGATTCAACATCATGTGAAGTGATTCAACATGATGTGAAGTGATTCAACATGATGTGAAGTGATTCAACATGATGTGAAGTGATTCAACATGATGTGACGTGATTCGACATGATGTGAAGTGATTCAACGTAGATGTGAAGTGATTCAACAAGATGTTTCCATCTGCTTTAATATACTTCCTTAAGAGGAAAATATACGGAAATTTGTTGAAATTTGCATTTCAACGAAAATTACCGCGCGAAATGGAAATTATTTCTTTGCTCCGAAATACAGAATAGGAATCTAATCAATCTATTGCTTTCGAATGTGCTGTTGAATGTGCTGTTTTGGAAATTAAAAGAACTTTATCTTGCAAATCCTAAATAAGGTGCGTATCTCTCAAATGTATAATGTATGTAACATTTATTTCGCAGAGAACTCATGCGGTCTGGCAGTGAATTTACGACTGTCGACTTTTATATTGTTTGGCGCGTATAAAATCTTAACATTTATATTAAATCTACTATCTTGTATTGGCACTTCAATAATGAATCCACTTAACGCTATTTATTATCATAAAAAAGATTTCTTTATCATTCAGTTTCCACCCAAATGTTAAATTGCTAAATAAGTAAATAGTGAATAGCGGCGATGTTCATCGTGTTCATGCCGCTATATAAATATTGGCCATGCTATTGCATTTAATATCCCACCCCCTGTTGAGGATCTTTGTTTTGTAGTCCCCATAAAGAAATAAGGATTTTTATAAACCCCAGAGTCCTCAAATGAAATCTTCGACTAGTATGTATCAGTCAATAGCGGGATTAGGCAAGGTTTATTTCTGTCAACAATAACATCAGATTACTGAGGGGGGACTGAAGTAAAAACTGTCCTTTGTATCAGTTTGTGGTAATCATGAACACATCTGAAAAATGTCAGGTTTTCAAGTTTTTTGCTTCCTTGCAAGAGTGCCATGATGCAAAATGCTGCCAAAATTAGATATAACAATTTTCGGATTACATCCCACTCTGTGTTGACAAAAACGTTGCTTGCTTAAATTAATGTGTATCCCCCTACAGGGCCATCCCCGGGCATTTGCAAAATTTTGTTTTCTGGAGGCTGAGTAATGGTTCTGTCGAATATTTCCCGGGGCCGAGCATATATAATGGTTAGCCTGCAAGCAGGCAAATTCTCAACCTTGTAGTCACTTCCTTGTGGTGTGTACACATTGTTTTAAAGAAATATAATTGTTTCTTGCCTAGGGGCACTACAGAAGTTCCCTAGCAAGCTCGATAATTGGGAGGGGTCCATTTTCGTCGTGTTCACATACCTTAAAAACAATCGATTTAAAAATAAATTAATAATGCAGCACATGAATATATGAATATGAGCTCCCCCCCCAATTATCGAGTTTGCTATGGCACTGTGCAGTATGACTTGGGTATCAGGTGGAGGGGATTGCACTTGAAACCAATTTTGGCCTATTACACACATCTAGAGATTATAAATAACACTAGTTAGAGGAGGCATGGAGATTAAAATTTGGGAACACGCCTAATGGGGTGCAAATTTAGGTCTCGGATATATTGGCTAAATTGAAAACCGTCACCAATGGGAACACAAATACACATCCGGGACTTGAATTTGCCGAATTCCTTTTTTTGGCCTGATGTCAAGATTGCGATGCCTCCTCTAGTGTTATTTATAATCTCTCTGCAATCGGCTATTTGCTGAACAAAAACAGTAAATGGCCAATCAATTTTATTCTGTACAGACCTGTTAACTGATAAGATTCATAGTTTTCACTTTATGAATGATAAAGAAATATTTTTTTATGATAATAAATTACGTTAAATGGATTCATTATTAAAGTGCCAATATAAGGCATCAAGTCTGCTTTCAAATTATATTAAGATAGCAGATTAATGTTAAGATATTATACGCGCCAAACAATATAAAAGTCGACAGTCGTAAATTCACTGCCAGACCGCATGAATTCTCTGCGAAATAAATGTTACATACATTATACATTTGAGAGATACGCACCTTATTTAGAATTTGCAAGATAAAGTTCTTTTAATTTCCAAAACAGCACATTCAACAGCACATTCGAAAGCAATAGATTCCTATTCTGTATTTCGGAGCAGAGAAATAATTTCCATTTCGCGCGGTAATTTTCGTTGAAATGCAAATTTCACCAAATTTCCGTATATTTTCCTCTTAAGTTAGTATATTAAAGCAGATGGAAACATCTTGTTGAATCACTTCACATCTTGTTGATTCACTTGAAATGCAAATTTCACCAAATTTCCGTATATTTTCCTCTTAAGTTAGTATATTAAAGCAGATGGAAACATCTTGTTGAATCACTTCACATCTTGTTGATTCACTTCACATCTTGTTGAATCACTTCACATCATGTTGAATCACTTCACATCATGTTGAATCACTTCACATCACGTTGAATCACCTCACCTCATGTTGAATCACTTCACATCACGTTGAATCACCTCACCTCATGTTAGTTGAATCACGTCACATGTCTCATGTTGAATCACTTCACATCATGTCGAATCAGGTCACATCATGTTGAATCACTTCACATCATGTTGAATCACTTCACATGTAGTTGAATCACGTCACATGTAGTTGAATGGACTTCACATGATGTTGAATCACCTCAAATTTAACAACACAACGAATGGTTTCAAAAAGGCATGAATCATTTAACAAGTAGACAAATAATTTGTTTACGACTTGTTAAATCATTGCAAAACATCTTGAGCCATTTCACATTGTCTATATGAATTAACGCAACACTAATCGAATTACTGAGACCACTGCGAGGTGAATCATTTCAAGTTTAGATGAATCATTTCTCATCTTGTCCAGTCACGTTACTACGTTATGTTCAATCATTTCTAAACACAATGAATCGTTTGTGTTTATAATGAATCAGTTCTGTTTATGTCCATTCATTTCACATGTGTAGTATTTTTGGTGGTAACGGCCGCCCATAGACACCTAAGGCACTAATAGACAAATTAATAAATTTTACAGTTTTGAAATGGTCTTTCTGCTGCGTAATTAGATCCTTGTATCTTTCCCTTTTGCGATCGACGTTGTTTTGGAGATTGGATTCATATCCGACAGAGAGTTCGAGTATGTACAGACAATCATTTGAAATCGAAAGAAGCAGATCTGGGCGATAAGTGTCACCGGTTATTATTGAGGGGCTCTTGTATCCAGGAAGATCAACAAATAGCGTGGAGTTGTGTTCAGGTTGGAATATTTTTGCGACAAAATTGAGAATGGAGTCATGTCTCCAAGTAAATCGTGGAAGGTATGACTGGCATCCAGCGACTACATGCAGAAGGGTTTCAGGTTTCAGGCAGAGGGAACAATCCGAGTTTGACATTATTCCCCATTTTGTGAGGTTTTTGCGTGTGGGAAGAGTGTTGTTGATGTAACGGATGGTGAAGTTATAGATGCTTTTTGGCAAGCTGGATTGAGATTTGGACCATAGGTTGTTTAGTGTAGACAACGAGAACTTGGTGGTGTTAGAGAAAAAGGAGCCTTGGAGAAGCAGATGATTTTGAAGCTGGTCCTCTTGTGCAGATTTGAAACTTTTAAGAACTTCCTTTGTCGAGGTGTAGACGTCGTACTGAATGTTAGTATTGTCGCAATTTGATTTCCATAAATTTCTTATACAATCATTTGGAAAGGTTTTTAAGGCTTTACGAGAGACTGTTTGGCACTGAGTGAACTTGACGGATGGAGGGTATATATTTAGTCCAAATTTATTACTTGTGAGGAAGACATTACTTAAAGTTCCAGATACGGGTATTTCAAGCCATTTCCGTACGAATTTATTAACTACTGAGTCCATGTTTTCAGAAACCCACGTTTTTGATAAGGTAGCGACAGTAAAATGCCAGGAGAATTTCGATAGGAGATAACGACTATAGAGTAAAATTTTGTTCTTTGGGTGTAGCGGTTTGAGGTCAATTTCTGACATGATATCTTCAAGGAGGGTGATTAGTTCTTGTTTGTGATCTTTGTCAGACATATTGAAATCAAAATATTTCCCTAAGTATCGGAAAGACTCTCCTATTTTAGTAGCCGGTATTAATTTATTGTCAATGAGGAGTCTTGGTAGGTATTGGATTGATTTTGTCAGAATTTCTTAATGCCAAATGTACTACATTTGTCGACTCGAGTAATCATGTTTGACCATTGACACCAGATTGAGAAGCGATTTAAAAGGTGCTGATTTTCGCTCTCTTGACCGCTAATAACGGCTGCATCGTCAGCAAACTGGAACCAATCGATTGGATTTAAAAATTTGGTCATGAAACTAAATTGGCGGTATTTATCAGCTTTAATGTGCTGAATAAAGGTGTTGAAACACATATTGAAAAGTAAAGGACTAAGACAGTCTCCTTGAAGTACACCTCGGCCAACAGTTATGAATGGGGTAGAGAATTCGGCAGTTATAATTGTGGTGTTGAAGTCAGTATAGAAGCTCTTGATAATTTCATTAATCTGTTCGGGAATGTGATGATAATCGAGGACAGATTGAATGAGATTATGATGCACTTCACCAAAATAATAATAATAATAATAATAATAATAATAATAATAATAATAATAATAATAATGGAAACTTTATTAATTAATTTTTAAAGTTACATACAATTGTAAATCTCACTTATATAAGGTAATTCACATCCGTCTACTTCAATCAATTATAACTATACATACACAATATAACAATAATAACAAACAACAAATATATAGTACAATTTTTAAAAGGTTAATAGTTCCGGATTTGTCCATTCTTTGTTTCTGCAGCAAAATATATAGTAAGTTGTTCTGATCGCAATCGTCGTCATTCGTTTAAAGCAGTATTTTTGGTGGTTTTTATCGAAGCCAAGATCATTAATGAAACTGAGTCAGTTATTCTTTTGCAAAAACTCCAAGACTGCTTATTGAAATATTTATAAATTTGACGTTCTGCTCTATAAATTTGACGGAATGCTCGCTTTGTTCCCTAATCAATTCTGAGTATTTGGCCTTTTTGCATTGAACATTCTTTTCGAGATTAGACTCGTACCCAACAGTTAGTTCCACGATATATATACATCCACTTGAGGTTGACAGCAGCAAATCAGGACGATAACAGTCACCAGTAATGATGGATGGACTTTTGTATCCTGGGAGATCCACATAAAGACATGATCCGCTGACAGTCTGCAGATTCGTCACAAGAAAGTTTAAGACAGAATCTTGTCTCCATGTGTATCGTTCCAGATATGATTGACAACCTGCTACAACGTGCAAAAGGGTTTCGGGGGCTAAGCAATACGTGCAATGTAGCCCATCTTGCAAGGTTTTGCCGCGTTGGGAGAGAATTGTTAATATAGCGTACAGTAAAGTTGAAGATATTTTTCGGCAGGTTCGATTGACATGTGGACCAAAGTTTCGTCGGTTGGGAAAGAGAGAACTTTGTAATATTGGTGAAGAAGGACCCTTGGCATGTTAGTTGGTTACGCAATCTATCCTCTTGTTACGCAATCTATCCTCCAATCAATCCTTAAGAACTTGCTTGGTCGAGTGATAGATGTCGTACTGGATATTTTTGCTGTTACTTGTTGACTTCCAAAGTTCGTTAATAGCTACGTTTGGAGATATTTTTAGAGCTTTACGGAGAACAGTTTGGCATTGGATGAATTTTATAGATGGAGGGCAAATATTGAGACCAAATTTGTTTCGGGTTAGGAAGACAGTGCTCAGCGTTCCGGATATAGGTATATCAAGCCATTTACGAATATAACTGTTCACGTTGGAATCAATATTTTCAATGACCCAGGCTTTCGATAGACCAGTAACAGTAAAATGCCATGATAATTTCGACAAAACATACCGACTGTAGAGGAGGATTTTATTTTTTGGGTGTAGTGGTTTAGAATCAATATCAGCCAATTAGTTCTTCAACAAGTGAGGTTAGTTCAGACTTGTGTTTTTCATCCGACATGTTAAAGTTAAAGTTAAAGTATCTTCCTAAGTATTGAAAATGTTCTCCGAGACGGGTCGTTGAAATTAGTTGGTTATTACTGAGTAGTTTCGGCAGATACTGGATTGATTTTGTCAGGGCTTTTTTGATGCCGAAGGTACAACATTTATCCACCCGAAGAATCATATTGGACCATTGGCACCAAATAGAGAACCGGTTTAAGAGATGTTGATTTTCCGATTCTTGACTACTTATGACCGCAGCATCATCAGCGAACTGGAACCAGTGGATGGGATTTAAAAACTGGAAGGAGAAACCAAATTGGCGATATTTTTCAGCTTTTATATGTTGGATAAAGGTGTTGAAACACATATTGAAGAGAAGAGGACTGAGACAACCTTGCAGTACACCACGGCCAACTTTATGAAAGGGGTACGGAGTTCGGAGGTAATTATCGAAGTTTAAAAATGAGTATATAAGCTTTCAACAATCAATTTAATGTGTTCACGGATATGATGATAATCAAGTACGGATGTGACGAGATTATGATGAACTTGACCAAAAGTATTCTTTCACTTATAAAAACTCAAAGTTGGCAAAGTAAAGTTTTAGTACATGAATGCAATCAATTTAAATTTAAAATACACATGTAACAATTAGGAATTTTGCATATTTGTGATATTCAGTGCATTTTAAAACGCAATTTATTTTCTTAGGAAAAAACTTCATCTTCATGGCTGTTTGTTAAAAGTTACTGGAAGTGACATTGAGTATTACAGTCAAACCGGATGTTCTGTTCCCATGAGTTTTGCAACATTGCAATCAATCTTGCAGTGAACTTTATGTCTTTTATCTGGAACAATACGCCAAATAGTACATCAGTTTCAGTCCGTTTATACGCCATCATCGCGTGGTCCATCGCCACGCCATATAGTATGTCAGTTTCAGTCGCCTTATACGCCATCACCGCACAGTCTATTACGAATCGGGGCGTGTCAAGTGGCGTTGACATTGGCTTCATGTTTCTCTCCCCGCATGTTATCGTTCCAGATAAAAGACATGGAGAGGGCTGATGCCACTGCTCATGCGAAGCACAGAGTAAGTACATACAGAGGTCTCACTTCAGGTTAATTTTGCGTATTAAAAAGGGATTTTTTTGAAAAATGCGCCATGTTCTTAGCCAGTCCAGTGAAAAGAAGCCACCTTTTTAGGTCAGAGTTTCTTTGAAACTGTGCACTATTGTGATGAGTGGCGAAAATTCACATCTGTCATATACATCAGATATCATAGAGTAAACTTTCCGGGGGGGTGTATACGATTTATCTTCGTGGTGATTTATTGTACTTAGTCAGTGCTTTGAAGGTTATTTAGGCAATTTCAGTTGTCTTATTTAAATACTTATTTTGTCCTTTTGCCAAGTTCACAAAAATTTCCAGGAATCATCGTTGTTATTGTGAATTTTTGTCAATTTTATAACATTCGCTTCTCTGTGTTGTGTGAAGGATCTTTCGGAACACCCATTTTTTCTTTAGCAGCGCAAATGCGCATGCGCTATCAAGCTGTAGATCACGATGGCGTGACGATGTTAGGAAGGAGCGACACTACCGTCAGTGTTGTTTTCAAATTATAACCCATTTTTATAGACGTGAATATCGAGTAATATATCCATTTTTATAGACGTGAATATCGTGAGAATCTACGCAATATATAAATTGATGTTATGACATATGCATTACGGGCATTCAATTAAGTACCGATATTATTTTTTACGGTATATTCAATTTCAATATACAAAGCTAGGAAGCAGCGAGACAGTGTTGTTTTGTCTTTTGAAATGTATGAAAATTTCAGGCATGAATATTGAGAAAATCTTTGAGATTCTACGCAATATATAAATTGATGTTTTGCATTACGGGCATTCAATTAAGTGCCGACGGTACAATTTCAATATACAAAGCTAGGAAGCAGCGAGACGTGTTGTTTTGGTCTTTTGAAATGTATGAAAATTTCAGGCATGAATATTGAGAAAATCTTTGAGATTCTACGCAATATATAAATTGATGTTTTGCATTACGGGCATAAATGTATAAACATTTGAGACATAAATATTGAGAAAATCTTTGTTTACGTGTCTAGCACAACGGTGCAAACTCGTGTTCAGTGCAACGAAAACTCTACCAGATCTTACGAGAATCTATCTGTATCAAAGCTTGTCAAAACTGCTATATAAACACTGCTATAACTGTGAAACTATTGAAATTTAAAGCGACATTATTGAATACATGCGAAAAGCTGAAAATGACTCATGAAACAACAACGTGACCTTCGAAATATGTCAAACGTCAATGAGACTTGTTATTGTGAACACGTCATAATTAGATTAAAAGCGGATGCGAATCCACGGAACGGATATGGGGATAAAATGCGGAACGGTTATGGATAAAATGCGTCATTTTAATGAGTTTTCGCCTCGTATTTACGTTTCTGTGTTTTAGATTTATGTTTTTTTTGTAATGGAATACAACGTCGTAGTGCCTATTATTCATACCATATCTTATACAGCTATTTCAATTAAAGTTGTCACTGAGACAATAGTCAAAGTGTACAATATGGGCGCTAAAAGGATGGTGGAAATAATCACAGATTTAAATAAGTCATCTAGGTTGTCGGCGACCCTATAGAGTGTCGTTTTCAATTTGAAACTTTACAACAACATAACAGAAATTATGCCTTGTCACTAATATTATATGGGGAAATAAATAATATTACATAACTCTCGTCATTCTTTAATCGTAAAGTATTAGATTTAAACCAGATCTTAGCATTTTTACTGTTGTAACAGTTCGCGCGCTACTACTGTACGTCATATCGACATGTGATTAAAGCTATAAACCACGCTTGAAAAGCTATTCAATTAATAAGCATGTCTTATAGCGTTCGTCTTTGAAACTCTGCACTATCCTTGGATCCCTAGTTACGTATACTGCGCATGTGCAGGTACTGGCTAAAGTGGCTAAGAACACGGCGCAGCCAAAAAAACCACCTTACGGTTCTTTACGGTTTTGTCGCTGAGATAAGCCCCTGTATGTGACTCTGTGCACGAGGCTTCACTTTTTAAATATTTCTTCAATAATACTTTTAATTTGTAAAACTAAAAGAAAAATATTAATCCTCGTACTTCGTTTTGGATTTGTTATTTTTCATGATAGGAACTTGAGAAATTGACAGTTGCAACTTGCGAGGCAACTTGCGTGTTTTGATTGCAATTATATTTGTTCGGAGCAATGGGTGTTCCAGCTATAGACAAAATTTTGATCAAGTCAAGAACGAAATCCAACACCACAGCTAGAAATAGCGTCTTAGAATGAGTAAAACTGCAAAGATGGGTTGGTAAATGTTGTAAAATGAAGAAAATAAAGCCCTGTGAAGTTCGCAAATTTTGTACAGTATATTTGTATTACGCGTGATAAAAATAACCACTTTCTGCTCAAAAATGGTTATTTATTCCGTGTGTAATGCAAATATATACAAAATTTGTGAATTTCAAAGGGCTATATTTTCCTCATTTTACAACAATTCACAACCAAACTTTGCAATTTTACTAATTTGAAGACGTTCTCTCCAGCTATGGTAATGGTTTTGTTCTTCTTGTTTAGATCAATAATTCCATCTATAGCTGGAATCATCCATTTGACAATCAACATTGCAAGATTGATTGCAACGTAGCAATACTCAGCCTCAGGAGAACCCAACATCCGGTTGACAGTAAGGCAATGCAAATCAGTTTTCTTTTGTTTCTTTTGAAACAAATGCACAAAATTGTCACTTCCAGTAACCGACTTTATTAAACAGCCAAAAAGACAACGAAGATGAAGTTTTGTCCTATTATAAAATAAAATGTATTGCATTTCGTCTTAGAATGTACTTGTGATACAAATATGTATAATATGTATAATGTCACAGATGATACTTTTGAAGAATCGTTCAGTGATCAATGTGAGATTGCAAAGGAATTGAAAAACCAATATGAAAAACAAGCCAGTATACATTCCGAAACCAGTACAAAGCACGATGAATCGAACACGAAGTCAAAAAATTTGCATGAAGAGTCCATCGGTCTATATACGGTGACAAAGTCTGGCAATCTGCAAACAAAATCAACAAATATGCATAATCCCTTGGGAAGTAGTGCCAGCTGTAATCGCGACTCCGCTGAGATTAGTCGACTGAATTCGAAACTTGACAGATTTTCTGAAAACGTGACAAACAAATTACAAAATCTCAGCGTCGAGATAAACAACATTAAAGAGAACAAACCCTACTCTATTTTGGTTTTAGATAACGTAGTCAATGATCTAAAGGAAGATAAGCTTGTGCTAATTAGAAAGAACGACGAACTCAGGGAACAAAACATGGATATGTCTCATATTATATCTGATTTGAAAATGGCAAACAAGAATCTGGAAAGCGAAAAGAGCAGCCTGTTGACAGCTCTTAAATTAATTCAAAATGACTACCAACAAACGTGCACGAAAACAATTGTGAAAAATGACGGCGAGAATAATGTGGAATTGGTTTGCGAAACAATAGAGGGAAGTGAAGTCACTCAACCAAAACCTTCATCTATTAAATTAGCCCGCAAACGATAAGCATCTTAACACCGAAGCTAGTACTGGGAAAAATCGTAAAAAGAATGGAAAGAAATCTAAGTCCAAACCTTCAACACAAAATTCCAGCCAACAAACTGCGGATGTAGATACTTCTGGTGGTATTGTGAACACCTCTAGTTCTAAATCAACGGAGCAAGGCAAGAAAACAGTTGTTATTGCAGGGGACTCAATTGTTAAAAATACTGTCGGTCCGAAAATGAGTGCTGACGATCCTAATCACCATTTTATTGTAAAGCCGTTCCCTGGAGCAACAGTCTCAGATATGGAGGATTTTGTCAAGCCATTGACAAGAAGGACACCGGACAAGATGATCTTACACGTCGGAACAAATGACCTGAGAAGTCATTCTACGCCGAAAATAATAGCAGACTCCATTGTCAACATTGTAACACAAATAAAAGAAGATTC